GTGTTTTGATGTCAGTTTTAATGAGTGGCATCAGCGCTACTGAAGCGGAGTTGTGGCAGTGCCCGGGGAACACCTGATGCAGTGCCAGTGGGCGCCCAACACGCACCAAAGCGGCAAGCAGGGTGTCGGGCAGAGCCCGCTGTCTCTCGGTGCTCAGGAAGAGCCTTGGGAGGAGAGGACACGGGAGCAGACCCACGTCTCGGCCTGCTGACGGGTCCTCTCAGAGCGGACCTGCCGGGAGTGCAGAACCGGCCTCGCTTCAGGCAAGCCGCCTGCAGACGCTGGGGATGGAGCAATGCTGAATTTCTGGACGTTTTTAGACTTCTAAGACTTGGAATACAAAGGGCCAGATCCAATTTCTAGCAAGGAGGGCCGCTGACTTGGCGGTGACGTACACCTACGGGCTTGCGCCAGAGGAGTTGAAAGCCCCCAGCCTCAGCTCCCGGCCTGCAGGACCGCCCACCCATGTCTGGGCGTTGCTGCTGGAAGGCAGAGCCCGCGGCGTTGCTCAGGCTCTGCAGACTCCAAGCAGGCCCAGAAGCATCAAGACAGAAATGGGGAACAAACCCGGGGGCACATGATGAAAGGTTTTCCCCCAGGGTTAATACTTGCACATCGCATCTCGTACCCTTTCCCATCCACATATGGGAGGACTCGCAGCAACAGCAGGGCCTCATGTCTGCCCTTCAGGGTTTCTTTTCTTCACCCATAAGCTTTGAATCAGTCGGTTACTCTGCAAAAGTCAGAGCGAGATGAAAAAGCAGGGAGAGCGACAGAGGGAATGACAGCAAGGAGTAACTCAGGGCTGGCAAACTACTGTTAGCGAAAGGATTATTACATTTCTCTGTTATATAGAGAAATTCTAATGGATAATAAAGAAAGCAATAAAGTTCATCGCTGGTCTGGCACCGTGTCACTGCGTGCCGGGAGTTACATCTCAGGAGGGCAGTTCAGTTGATCCGTGGGCATCATTTTCTCAGTGTCAATCTTGTAGGACTTGAGAACGCTTTTCAGATGCTCCACGGTTTCTGGGTGCATGTCAGGAGCTCTTGATAAAATCCATGCGTAGTCAATGTGGAAGAGCCAGAGGATGTTGGTGCAAGAGTAAACCAGTGAGTAGTTTTCATAGTCGGTGGAGATGACCCAGTAAGGGGCAGAAGGCATGACTAGGAGAAAGAAGGGCACCGTGAACACCGTGAGTAACCAACCCTGGACTGCTCTGCAGCACTAGAACCATGGCTCCTGGTGCTGTTCTCACTTTTGCTGCTCCTGAGCTGCGTAATTGTGGTCAGCACAGGGAGCTACAGTCTACAAAAGCCTATCAGGACTCCTTGTTCTGCCCAGAGGGACTCGAGAAAGCCACAAAGCCCTGACTAGAAAGGTCCTGCTGGAAAGTTAACACTATGACCCGAACTGCTCAGCCGAGCCACCGACAGCCAGCCCAGCTTGTACCTGTGGAAGGGTGCTTGCTGGTGGGAAGGAGCCCTCGGGCTGCGGGTCGGCACCATGCTCTGTGGCTGCTACGCCCAGAGCATCTGCCTTGATGAGGGAGGGTCACTCCAGCTTCAAATCGCCAGGCAGGAAGCAGAGGTGGGTCCAGCGGGCAGGTGTAAGCACCTGGGGATTTATTTCTGATGCGCTCAGGAATGCTGGGCGCTGTTCTCCGGTGAGGAGGATTGGGGTTGCACGCTCTGCGGGCAAAATGGCTGTGGGTGATGCCTTAGCAGCGCATAATTATGTCTGGCTGTGCTGGTGAACAATAATTGTCCTTTGCAAGTACCCCTGCTCCACCTGTTTCTCCAAATAACTCGTCTGTGTGAGTCCTGTGAAACAGCCAAGGAAAAGGTGTGAGGGAGCAGAATAAAAAGGGAGCCAAGAGGAAACTTCTGCTGACTTCCCGAGGGTCGCTGCGGACAGAGGAAAGCGCTCTGCAACGTGACCAAAATGCACTGCACCTCAAGGCCCCTGTCGTGTGTTACATTGACAAGGGAAGAAAAAGCAAACAAAAACACCCTATTAATGGTTATTAAAATGTGTTGGTAAGCAGAGGCAGGGTGAGCTAGTAGCTACACCACGGTGTTCAGAAAAACAAGCCTACGCCTGGCCCTTGCAGCAGCTGTGGGGCTGCCTCCCCCACCTCCCCCCTCCCGTCCCCATCTGTGAAATGACCCGCAGGGACCGTGATGCTGCTGATCTTTCTTGCTCTGAGATCAGTTGGTGAAGAGTGCTCCACCACTGCGGGGGTGGTTGCTGCAAATGATGTATAAATATCACCAAACCACTGCCTGCTGGGCACAACATCTGTCCTAACCCTTTGCCATTGCCCCGTCACGCTGCGCTGAAGTCACCAGGGCAGCTTCGCCTCTTGCTCTGCTGGTTTTACACCCCTGATGGCGCGGCAGCGGTGCCTGCTTCGTGCAGGCGCTGCCCTCCCTCGCTGCTGAGGCCAGCAGGCACCGGGGGCCTGGTGGAGTCTGTGAACCTCCCAGCCACACACTTACACCAGTTAAAGCGGACACCAAGCTTGGCCGGCTCCTTTACATCCATGTGCATGATTTCTCCTTCGACTTCATTGACTTTACCACTGGAACTAAGGGGAGAATGACAAGGTGAAAAATAAAATCAGGTGTGTTTGAAATAACTTTTTTTTTTACTTCCACCAAGTTATCCCTCCTGACGCATCCGCCTGCCAAGAGGTGGCTGAAACACGTACCAGCTAACCGTAGCGGGGTGTGCCTCGGTGCCCGGGGGACAGTGACAGAGAAGAGGGAGAGAGAGACCCCTCTGCACCAGGCAGGAGGATCCCAGCACTCATCTCGGATGTGCCAGGGGCAGCTCAGCTTCTGCTGGTTGTGGAAGGCATCTGTTCACCTCTGTTTAATCACCTGCGTTTTTTCCAGGTCACGGCACATTCCTCCGCACACAAATTACCTGTCCCTGTGTGGTGAGCCAGGGCTTGTTTCGCTGCTGGTTCAGAGCACTGCCCTGCTGGCAGCAAGCCCTATGACTCGGGCTGCCCATCTTATAATTGCATTTTTCCTCGGATGCCCCAAGACCTGGGCGCTGCCTGTGGGGCAGGAAAATTTCACGCTTCCCTGTGAAACAGGAACACCCACGGAGGCAGGAGGTAACGCTGCCAGCAGCAGAAGTCGATGGGCTGATGCTGGAGCCGTGCACAGTGCACACCTGACCCAAAATATTCCTGGCATTTCAGGGTCCTGAGCTGCTGACGCGATGACACCAGCAGTCAGATCAATCTCCCGCAGATAAATGCAGGCGCAAATAAATGGCTGGCTGTTTGCAGGGTGCTGCCCTGGCAGTGGGGCTGCAGAGACAGTGCCATGCGGTCAGCGGGCAGTGTGGACGCTGCTCTGCCGGACACAAGGGATGTGTTGCTGCGTTGTTGTTATTGTGAGCCAGAACAAAGTCCCCACGCCATGCCCGGGAGCGCAGGGGACAGCGCAGCGATCGCCGCTCGCTCCCCCTCGTTCATTCAGCCACCCACAGCAGCACCCCACGACAGCCAGGGCTGGCGATGGAAACAGATGAATTAACATCTGCATCTGTCCATGCAAAAAGCCAGGCAGGCTTGGGATAACTGCAACTATCAAGTGTAATAAAGGGAGCAATCAGTGCATTCACTTTGCTCACTGATTTAAACTGGGGAGGACTGCCGATCCCCTTACACGGCAGTTACTACCAGTTACTACCAGTGCAAGGTAAATACTCCAGAAAAAGGCTGACAAATATTTGCTTAAGTAAAAATGACCCATGTGCTTCACTCTCCCTGCCCTTTTTCCCTGGGTCCCTTTGCTCCGGAGCAGAGGAGCACAGGGCACAGGCACCTCTCGGCACGCAGCGGCACAAGGTGGTGGCTGCCGTCCCGTAACCAGCCCTGTCACCCCCCGGGACAGGACCCAGGGCATCCGGCTTCTCAGCCATCACACACCAGTCAGGGGGGAGACCCAGGCTATTCCACACTGGGGTCACCGTGTGCGTTTGATCTATTTTCTCACTACTCACCTTGGACAAGGAGACAGAGGCCTGGTGAGCCCTGGGGAAGCACTGGCAGAAACCAGAGACCCACATCTCTGCCGTAAGCACAGCAAAGCCCAGTACCCCAGCAGAGCTACTGCAACCCCAGGGTGCCTCCCCCCAGCATCCCCAGACCCAGAAACTGGCAATCTGGAGAAAAATGACCACCCGGGACAGCAAGAGAGGTGACAGGTTTGCCACTGCCACAGCGAGGACACAGCCTCCACGCAAACACTTACAGCAGCTCCTTGTTGATCACCTTGAACTTCCCGTTCTCCTTCAACGAGTAATTTGCCTGGATGCAGCTTCCTTTCTCGAAGCTTGAGGGCAGCTTCTCTATCTCATACCACTTCCCCAGATACTGACAGAAGAAAGTCCAGAGAGATGCTTTTAGCACTGGAGGGCTGAGGCAGAGCAGCCCGCTCGCTCGCTGGCGCAGTGCCGCCTGCTCGGTTCATTCGAGCATCCCCCGCCACTGCACAGGGGGAACCGGGGCCGCAGACCCGCACCGGCAGCGGGCGTCGAGACCGGACCTGCCAACCCCCCTACACACCCCGGCAGTTTGCCATCAGTCCCATGCCCCTCTTTGCCAAACTCACTACCCGTTGTGAGATTTCGAGAAAGCTTTTCACACCTTGTTGATATCGAAGTCTTCTTGGACTGGTGGATCTGGGCATGGTCCCATATGAAACATCTGACCTTTCCCAAAGCCGAGGAGGCCGAGCAGGACCGAGAGCCGCACTGCCGGGCCCAGCATGGCTGCGCTGGGATGCAGGTGGGAAATGGACCTGGGGAGGAGGAAAAGAGCCGAGCTGGGGCTGGGCTGGAGCAGAACTTTGTGTAAGAGCTGGAGCAGAACTTTGTGTGAAATATGCCGGCAGCAGGGCACCTCAGGGCACAGCAAGGAGAAAAGGATCATGAGAAGAGCACACAGGCACTGTGCTGAACAAGTCCCCAGCCCGAAACGGCCTCAAGCCCTGCCTGTGCTGAGGCCGTGCCCAGCAGCTCTGCGGGAAGCAAGGCAGTGCCTGGTGAGAGCTCTCGCACCCATCACCCACACCCAGCACCTAGCAAGGTGCAGGGATGATAAACGCCCGAGGACACACAGGAGCATCGTCACCTGTCCCAAGCTGAGGCGAGGGGAAATGCAGAGATGTTTGCTATAAAATGCTGGAGCACAAGGAGCAGGCTGCAGCCCTGGGGCACCGGGGCATGGAAGCGAGCAGTGCACACAGGCAGGCGCCTGCATGGGGACAGGGACATCCCCACGCGTGCCAGGGCCACCTGGCCCTGCGAGGCGGCAGGAGGGACAGCCCAGCTGCCTCGGGGGGTCTCATGTGCCGGGACGTACACAGCGCTGCAGGCTGGGGAAGTTGGGTCGAGACTCAAATTAGGGCCCAATAAAACAAGAACTGACCCCCAAAAGCATGCTGCGAGGAGGGAAAGGACACGTTTTCCCGGGGAGCAGAGGCGGGAGCTGTGCTGCTCACCTCTAAGCAGCCCCTGGAGCCAGGATGCTGCCCACGCGCTTCGGGCTCTGCGTGGGGCAGGTTGGCACCTCCGGATCCTGCAGCACAGGGCTGCTCTGCTTCCCTGGCCGGAAACTCCTCCGCAGGAGCCGCAACAATATTTTTCCTCAGTTTAAAATAAAAGCCCGGTCTGTCTCCAGCTGCAGGGCGTGGGCCCCGCTGTGGACACAAACACGGTTCCCATTTTGAATTTCTTAATTCAGAAACGTACCTTGGCTGGCGAGGCGGAGTGATGCTCTGCGGAGGACCAGGGCTGCAAGGAACAGCTCTGTGGTGAGCTCCCCGCCTCGTCGCTTTATAAGCGTGCTGGGATCATCATTATTCAGCACTAGCACAAGCCACTCCCTGGTCCTCAACTGGTTTTGTTTTTTTGGCAGGCCAGTCAGCTGCTTTAGATCTGCAGCTGGTACAAAGCTGGAGATGGGCTGCAGCTTGGCTGCTCACCCAGGCAAACAAAGGCACGCCACGTGTCTGGGTACCGCTCCGCAGCTGCCCTTCGGCCGCCCACGGGAGCCTCAGACCTGGGTGCAGCCATCAGGGGAAGGGGAGCGGTGCTGCAGCGGCTGGGGACAGCAGCGGCTCCCGTCCTGCTCCTCTGGCCCGGCAGCAGCCATGGCCGTGCTCCCAGGGCTTGTGCAACCTCCTCTGCCGGGGCCAGTCCAGCCCCGGAGACCCGCCGGGCCACTGCGACGTCCTCGTCCCCATCACAGTCACTCACAGGAGTACGTGGGGAGGATTAAGTAGTGGGAGGCATCGCAAACTCGTCTGGGGGGCTGAAAGACCTCTCAGCAGTTTTTCCTCTAGGCTTCTAAATCTCACTACCAGTGTGATTAGTAGTTTGCTGACCTGGCAGTTTTTCCAACAGGTGCCCAGCAAATGCCTCTGACAGCAGAGCAGCCATCTGTGAAGGCAGCCGGTCCCGAGAGTTATGCAAGGAGAGCTGAGTAACAGGCAGGATGCTCTCTGTGTTTAATCACGTTTTCTTCTCATCTAATCTCTGTCGAGACTTTCTCTCTAGGTGTGTTTTTACACGCTGCACCACGTGCCTTACTCACACATGCACACACACCCTCTTGAGCCCCCAAATGCCACCCCAAGAGCCACAGCGAGCTCAGCCCTGTCGCTCGCCGGGGCTGTGCTGCCGAGGCGTGCCCTGAAACACGGCCACCG